ACCCCCACATCAGTTGTCTAGTACAAATAACGCAAGCTCTGTTAACTATAGTTCTTTATGGGGCTATGTGAACTGTCCAAGGTTAGAAAAAATATAATTACATAGTATAAAACAAAGTCGCTGTCGCTGTCTGTCCGTCCCTATGTATGCTTAAATCTTTAAAACTACGCAACGGATTTTGAAGCGGTTTCTTTAATAGATAGTGATTCAAGAGGAAGGTTTATATCTATATATATATATATAACTCAAAGGTGACTGACATAGTGATCTATCAACGCACAGCCCAAACCACTGGACGGATCGGGCTGAAATTTGGCATGCAGGTAGATGTTATGACGTAGGCATCTGCTAAGAAAGGAGTTTGATTAATTCTACCCACAAGGTGATAAAATAAGGGATAAAAGTTTGTATGAAACTTTGAGAATTTTAAACCGATCGGGCTGAGACTTTGCATGCATAAAGCTACTATGACGTAGGCATCCCCTAAGAAAGGATTCTGATAAATTTCACCCCTGAGCGGATAAATTAACGCGAGCGAAGCCGTGGGCAAAAGCTAGTATATAATACATGTACACCCGTGCGAAGCCGGCGCGAGTAGCTATTAATATTATAAATAATTTTTTTTTTTCAATACTTACTACCCTGACTGGGAACAGAAGTGAAATCACAATCACCTATCCACCGTACAACGTATTCACAGCACTGCATCATCTGCTTCTTCCTTATCCAATTTATTTGTGGTCGTCGTAATGTATGTTTTTCTCTTCCATTCATCCCTGTTCGCAGTGATCTCGTTATTTACTCTGGCCATATCATCTTTCACAGTACATTCATCTAATCCATCTCTTCTTCAGCCTTCCTGTATCCTTATAACACATTTTTTATTATTATTGAGGGGTTTCGGCCATTGTCAGGTGCTTGGACCTGTAGCACTGCGACCTACATAGATCTATTGTGCTCGCTCTATTTCAGAGTTCGCAACCTAGATGCGTTAGGGACAAGAATTGAAGGAATGGAGCAATGGTTACTATCTCCTCAGGATATAGTGTAAACTTTCTAAAGGAGATATTTAGTTTGTGCATGAGTAGGCTACAACCACATAGGATGTGTAGCGGCGTTTGGACTTCAGCCCGGCAAAATCTGCAGATTTCTGTGCATAGACCTAGTTTTGCGATATGTTAGTTCAATTTGCAGTGACCTGTGAGGGCCCTAGTCATCATGCATATCGTCGGTTAGAAAATAGAAACATGGCACTATTCAAAATGTTTTTTTTTTCACGACAGGCATTCAAAGTTTTTAAATTTATTTAAATTATATTTTCCTTTAAAGTTTTAAATTTACATAGAAGTGGTATATATCATTTTAAAAGTATTCAGATAATGATTTAGACGGCGTGGTTAATTTAATTGACTTATATAAAAATAGGCAATTGTAGCTTCTAATTAAAAAATGTCATTTTTCTATTTAAACAACATATTATGTTGTTTATACTCAGTAACAATAGTTTATTTGAATATTTATTCGAGTAGCCCGATATTAGGGCTTGTGAATGTACCAATCCTGTAATACAAATTAAAATAGTAATAAATATAATTTTATTACCGCTCCAATGGAGCTATTAAATGTACCTTTATTTTTTTGATATGCACAAATTGCCTGTACAATTGCCAATACAATTAGCCTGAGCTACACCTTATTACATCAACTACCTGCCAAAAAAAGTCCCGTCAAAATCGGTCTAGCCATTTCAGAGATTAGCCGGTCTATCTGTAGACCGACAGACATATTATTATGTACCGTATTTACATTCATATGCATGTAAAAAACGGTTATTTCAATATCACAAACAGACACTCCAATTTTATTTATATGTATAGGTGAAATAAAAGTAAAGTCAAAAAAACCAAATGCATCCGGCTGGCGGCTGACGGCGGACGGCGGGCTGCACCGTCGGTGTCGTGTTACCATTACTGTTGCTAACTGTACCAATACAGTTTGGGACGGGCCGGTTTTTTTAATTACCATCACGGACTGCCACCGCGTGATTGTGACGGCCGGCCCGAAACTAACTTGCGAGCGCGGATTTACATATCGTTCGAACTGTTTTTGTTACTCATCATAGATAGATAGATAGAATATAGATGGAAAACACTTTTTTTTATATATTACAAATAAAGTGTTTTGCAGAAGAATTATTAATTAACTTTTATATAGAATTAGCTACTCGCCCTGGCTTCGCATGGGTGTACATGTATTAGCTACACATAGAAATAAAATTGGAGTGTCTGTTTGTAATATTGAAATAACCGTTTTTACTATGTAGTATGCATGTGCATATGAATATAAATACGGTACATACATCAAAATAACATTTTTTACAATTTTTGTCTGTCTGTCTGTTTGTTCCATCTAATCTCTGAAATGGTTGTACCGATTTTGACAGGAGTTTTATTTGCAGGTAGCTAATGTAATAAAGACTTTTGTAGGCTACTGTTACTTACTATTTTAGAAAAATGAAGTTAAATTCCATGCGGACTAAGTCGTGGATACAGCTAGTTATATTTATAAACCTTCCTCTAGAATCACTCTATCTATTAAAAAAACTTCTTCAAAATCCGTTACGTAGCTTTAAAGATTTAAGCATACATAGGGACGGACAGACAGCGACTGCGACTTTATTTTATACTATGTAATGATGATATAAGATGTATATCTATATATAAAAATGAACTGACGTTTGTTAATCGCTGAAACTCGAGAATGGACGGACCGATTTAGCAATTTTGGTTTAGAAATATTTGTAGAACTCCAAGGAAGGTTTAAGTAGAATAGAAAATTATTTATTCATATATACTTAATATAAGCTCTTTTGAAGCGATGAGAGAACATGAAGAAATTCCATGCACATTTTATTTTACCATACAAACTGTTCGTATCTGACAAACAGTTTAGAAATTTATTGCGTAACTAAACTTCTGAAAATCTTTGACATATTATTTAATTCTGAGGCGGAACGGAGTTTGCGGGATCAGCTCATAAACATTAAAGAACACATATATAGTTACAATAAGGCGACAGATAATGGAATAGTGCGTTAATGGGCCTCAGTGGAGAATGCTAGTTGAGCCTCAGTGGAGAATGCTAGTTGGGCCTCAGTGGAGAATGCTAGTCGGGCCTCAGTGGAGAATGCTAGTCGGGCCTCAGTGGAGAATGCTAGTCGGGCCTCAGTGGAGAATGCTAGTCGGGCCTCAGTGGAGAATGCTAGTTGGGCCTCAGTGGAGAATGCTAGTTGGGCCTCAGTGGAGAATGCTAGTTGGGCCTCAGTGGAGAATGCTAGTTGAGCCTCAGTAGAGAATGCTAGTTGAGCCTCAGTGGAGAATGCTAGTTGGGCCTCAGTGGAGAATGCTAGTTGGGCCTCAGTAGAGAATGCTAGTTGAGCCTCAGTGGAGAATGCTAGTTGGGCCTCAGTGGAGAATGCTAGTTGGGCCTCAGTGGAGAATGCTAGTTGGGCATCAGTGGAGAATGCCAGTTGGGTATCAGTGGAGAATGCTAGTTGGGTATCAGTGGAGAATGCTAGTTGGGCCTCAGTGGAGAATGCTAGTTGGGTATCAGTGGAGAATACTAGTTGGGTATCAGTGGAGAATGCTAGTTGGGTATCAGTGGAGAATGCTAGTTGGGTATCAGTGGAGAATGCTAGTTGGGTATCAGTGGAGAATGATAGTTGGGCCTCTGTGGAGAATGCTAGTTGGGCCTCAGTGGAGAATGCTAGTCGGGCCTCAGTGGAGAATGCTAGTCGGGCCTCAGTGGAGAATGCTAGTCGGGCCTCAGTGGAGAATGCTAGTCGGGCCTCAGTGGAGAATGCTAGTCGGGCCTCAGTGGAGAATGCTAGTTGGGCCTCAGTGGAGAATGCTAGTTGGGCATCAGTGGAGAATGCTAGTTGGGCATTAGTGTAGAATTGGAAAATGATAGGATGAACATTTAGTCAATCATTGACCCCCTAATTCCCTACAATGTGTCGTGTAAGTGGGACTTCATTCCTGGACTTAGCTACTCGTTTGAGACGTTGTGCTTAATTGGGGAGGCCTATGTCCAGCAATGACAGTCTTCCGGACTGAGATGTTGATAATGGTGATGATAAAATCATCCAATGGGCCCACTAGTTTCATTACTACAATTCGCTCTCCCCTCTTTTCCCCTTATATCTCATCCCTTCAACCAGATATCTCACGAAATAAAGTACTTAGCGGTTCATGTAGGTGAGACAGATTTTACTAATTACTGCAACGAACATACAGAATACCAACAAATTCCTATATATATCTACAATAAGCTGGCGTTCTATAAACTTGTTTATTTACGAGGTCAGGAGATACGTGCAAGTGAGACAGTTTTTATGGGCGATATAAATTAAACGGGTTATTCATTTTTGTACACGCGGACGAGGTGACGTTTTGTATATAGTTACCGTATCTCTACATCAGAATGCATTTTTTTGCTTCATGACAATGTTGTAGTAATTATTACGTAGTTGTTTGTACTTAATAATAAATATAGGTATAGCGGTTGTAGAGCACACTACGTTAATTTCTATTACCGGTTCGACATCAGCAAAATATTATTATTAATAACTATTCATAGGTTTCCAATTGTCTATGAATTGGACTGTATAGAACTAGCTTTAAACTGCGACTTCGTCAGTTTTTTTAGATTACGAGTGCTCGCCCTCACGATACAATCTATTTTTGTACTAAATTTCATTAACATATATTCAGCCGTTCAACCTTGAAAAAGCAAGAAACGGATAGATGCATTTTCGAATTTATATATTTATAAATGTAGTATGTTTTGTATGTATGTCTAGAACCTACAGTACGAGTCCCGTTTAAGTTAATAACTTAGCACCGTGAGAGTTGTGTGTTATATATATTCTCATATATTATATATTCTCACTCATATTTTGTAAACTAATCAATATTAATTGTAAACGTATGAAATTCCAGGAGCACAGGATGTCCCAAAACTGTAAATCCACATATTCCGCTGCGACCACACGGGATGCGAACAACAACACCCTGTACCACGGGGGTGCAGTGCAATATGGCGGCAGGGGGTACAACCCGCCGAGCAGCAATGGAAACTATCAGGTACTATAAATGTAATTGTAACATGAACTCTATTCCCCGCATTTAGCCATCTGGGAGGCCAACCATCTGGGAGGTACTAGAGTAGCCAACCAAGCTGCTCAAATGCGCAGAAGTCTCCTAGTGTCTTCACAGGCAGCACTGAGCGACCTCACCGTTCCGAGGATTTGAAATGAAATGAAATGAAATGAATATTTATTGCTTAAAATGTGGTACATATGTGGTTTTTAAGGTCTTTAGAACTAGTTTCACACATTTTGTCATTTCTGACATGCAACAGACAAAACAGATGTCAATTTTGGTTATTATTGTGTTTGTTGTGTGCCCACTGCAAGTACTCCAGGAATACGTGAGTAAAGAGCTCGACAAAGAGGGCTATCTGTAGCACTATTATATACAGGTGTTTGTTTAAGCGACCCATTATTATCCTTATCATTATTATTAGGTTTTTCCTATTTAGGGTTAGTAGACGTTTTGTAAATTGTTGGTTAGGTAACTATCAGGTATTAGAGTACATACAATAAATTCTACCCTTTACGAATTCTTTAGAAACCCTTACGGTAGTTTATTGGAGGGTTTATGTGGAGGTACCAGGAAGAACCTTTTTACCAACTCGATAAGAATCTTCGTTTTCATGGGTTTAAGTTAAGTTTGAATGGTAAAGAGAAAAATAATCTAAGAAATGAAAATTAGATTTTTAAGAAAATATTTTAAACTAAAGTGGTTGGCCATTTCATTCTTAGAATTACTTTTGTAAATTTAAGTACTTTGGAATAGAGTTCCTTTCAAACATTAAAATGTTTTTCGATCGGCGTTTATTTTTTTCATTAAAAAATCCGCTTTACTTTGTAGTAATAGATGAACAATGTTAATCTTTCAATACATAAACAATATTTTACAGAGATAACTTTCTTTGAAGTTTCAAAGCTCAATCATTTAGACGGACATCGATATATATACATAATATAAAATGCTTTCAGTCTTTATATTACGCAATGGGTTTTACTGCAGTTTTCAGCAACACATAAAGTGAGTCAAGACTTATATGTGTATGTAATACATGCATATTACAGTAAAGAAGTTGCGAGAAATTCAAAGATTTATAGCGCCTGCATCCGAAGCGGGGCGGTTCGGTAATATTATTTACATAACAAATAATACTTGTCATAAAATAAATGCTAACATGAACCCTACCTGCATTCTACAATGTGTAGGGGCTGTTGTGATGCTTACAGATGCACATCATCAGTCTTATATGCTCTATAAGATAAGTCGGTATCCGGCCCTTCAGGTTCTTAGTTGAGTGCCAAAGACCACTATCCTTTTGACAAAAATGTAATAGTATAATGTGGTTACTATATTCTCCCTAATTTTCTTTAAAAACGAATCCGAAATATTTAATCCTGTACGGTCGGTCCCATAGGCCCTATATGATATGTCGGTAACCGGCCCATTAGGGTCTTTGAGTTGAGTTCCAAAGTCCACTATCCTTTTGACAAAAATACAGTAGCATGAGGTGGTCACTACAAGGTGGTCACACTTCTCCCTAATTTAATTTAGAAACGAATCCTAATTTTTTGTCAGGAACAATACGTATTTGAATAAAAATAAGATTTGAATATCATAAGAGTTTGTATTAATTGATTTTTTAATCTTATACAATCATATTTGAAAAGATTAACAGCTGAGTTGCTTGTCAGTTCTTCTTAGCTCGAAAGCACTCCAGACTGACGGTAGATTTGTCATACCGTAAGAGTTTGTATTAAATGATTAAAATATAGTTTTAGACACAGCAATTTAATTTAACTTCCTGCACTCTAGCAATGTATGCTCCGTTCCGATCGTTCCAGCGTCTGATTAGAAATTGCTCACAGTTTTCAACTAACTGGCCGACAAACTTCGAGAAATTTCTGCACATTTCTACCTGAGAGGGAGGCATTGTATAAAATCGTTCGCATGTGACTGAAATGACAAACAATAGAAAAATACAAAAAGAGCTTACCCGATTGAAAGTGGAAAATGTTTGTCTCATATGAATGAACAGAAACTCGAACATTATGAAGTACAATATAACGCTAGAAGCGGAAGAGTGTAAAAAGTCATCTACTTGCTTTCTAAGCTGTCTTTCGATTATAGGGTAGCGATAAGAAGATGCAATTACAAGAGACGAGGTGACATTTTAGTGCTCCGGAATAGTAATGGTGTCACATGATGTCCGTAGTGCTGTTCATGCATACATATAGGGTACGGTTGCCGCTTACTATAAGATAGTCCGACAGGAAACAGTCGGTTTCTGTTGGCACACAAACCTACTGTTTATTGTAATTAGAATGGCCTCTAATTACAAAAGACGCCAATCTCTAATAAGACTTAAATCTTCATTCCAAGCTAAATCAATCAGGAATTTATCACGATGGGCTAACTGATCTAACCTCATGTTGATCTTATCATCCTCTACTGGTGCCTCGACAGCGTAAGCCGTTAGCGCAGACGGGTGCATCATTCCATTATCATCTATTAAACCATTGGCATCTATTACAAGATCCTTACAATGTCCTTTAAGGATGTTTATCACATTCAATCAAGCTAAAATATTTGGTATTCCAAATCGTTTAAAAATGTGAGAATTTCAATACTCGGACCATTACTGGACGATATTAAAACAATGCCATATAGAGTGCAATAAGTTAACAGTATTCCACAAAACGAGAGCACAATTTGCTCTGGTTGCGCAACCTGCTACATATCGGGAAATTGGTCCACTGGCGAAATAAACAGGCCCACCCCAATTAGGTATGCTATTATCATTTATCGAGAAAGGTATGTTAAGTTGCAATGCACATGTTCATATTTGATTTTGGACGGCGCACTTCTTGGGTGGGAGGAATTTTTTCTTTCTTTTATTAAGGAGTTTGGGCTGTCACTCGATACTGTAGACTCGTAACACTACTATCTATTGTGCTGGCCCTTTTTTAAGAGTTCTCCAGCTTTTGTAGATCTATTGTCCTGGCTCTTTTTTTAGAGTTCTGCAATTTTTGTCCCTGACGCTGCTTACGCCTGTCAGGGACAAGAATAAGGAATTGAAGACCTTAGCTGTGTTTTGATTTGAAGGATGTGTCTTTGGCATTATAGTTATAGTTCATACATTCTCTATACACATATATATGTATATTATAAGTATGTATGTTGTTTATTAATTAAATGTATTTTTCATGCATAATTAAAAAAAATAGGTATTGCTGTCTGCACTCCTTCTCTACATCCTTACTAATATTACAAATGTGAAAGTAGGTATGTTTGTTACGCTTTCACGCAAAAACTACTGAACATCATGAAATTTTATACACATATTTTTAGTGTTATTAGAAAGAACATAGGATACGTTTTATTTAAAAAAAAACATGCGAGCGAAACCGCGCGTAAATTCTAGTAAACTGTAATTTCTTACACATCCGTCCGGTAAATTTTCGTAAAACTTTGTATCCCTTATACAAAGTTTTTGCTTCAGGTATTTATATATAAAAACGTGCTCTGTTAACGTCCCCTTAAGGAGCTTTCTTTAAATCGTAACCATCACCGGCGCCGCTCCAGATTCCACAAGTTATCTCGCGTTACGTGTTCTCTCATAAAAGCTGTTTCTCTTGTAAATCGAGCGGACCCTTCTGAACTCATTTGCATAACGTTAATTACAAACAATAAAATATCGGTTCGTTACAAGGATTTTTTGGGGCTCCACATCTAAATATAATAATATCTCTGGACCACTCTGGACTACTTTTTGCCTCCCACAACCACATTATGGAATCACCTGGAAGGTATCGTATATATGATATTGAAACCTTCAAAAAAAGAGCTTATTCCTTTTTAAAAGGACGACAACGTACTTGCATTTCCCCTGGTGTTGCGGGTGCTCATGGGCGGCGGTAATCACTTACCATCAGGTGAGCCGCATGCTCGTTTGTCCCCTGTGTTATAAAAAAAAAACCATTCATACAGCGCCATCTAGTCCCAAATTAAGCAGAGCTTGTTTTATGGGTACTAGACAACTGCTATAAATACATAAATACTTTTTTTTAAATACATATATAATATATATACACAGAACACCAGACCGATACAAACAATCATACTTTTAAATAGAAATATCGGTACCATGCGAGGAATCGAACCCACTATCGAAAGTAAAACGGTGTGCTAAACCGCTAGATCAAAGAGGTCTATATAACAAAATTGTTTCATGTATAATATTAATTATTTTTTAATATATTTAACTAGCGACCAGTCCCGGCTTCGCACGCCTTAATTATCATTGAATTCCACGGCTTGTTCTATAATATGTACTCATGTATTATAGATATAAACCTCTTGATTCACTCTATCTACTGCTGAATAGATATACGCAAACAGACTGCAGAAGCGACTACATTTTATACTATATAGAGATAAACACTATACATTATGAAGAAATATATTTAAAATACAGAATCGTATCAAAAATAATCAACATTTTCTTCAATGATACGGAACCCTCTGTTTATAAATCAGACTCACACTTTACCTGTTTTTTTTTATTATAATTACCTCATATAAAACACCCATCAAATAAATGTCAGTGCCTATAATTTAATTGGAATACATATATATCCCACTAATTATTTATTTGTAATAATTAAACACGTTCGAAGTACAATCAAAGTAAATTTTGTACTATTTATTTTGCGTGGATAAGAAGAAATTCAATTGAGTTTAAAAAAAAAGAAATACAGTCAAGTTACTTGCCAGTTCTTCTGGTAACGTCCGGTGAAGCTGTAAAGGCCAGCTGCGGCCAACAGCATTAGAGTAGTCCGAAAAAAAAAGCCAGTTCTTCTCAATTGAATCTGTATAATGAACTGGACTGTAGTGAAAAAATATTGATACAAAAAAAATGTAAGTGCATAATTCAAATTCAAATTCAAAATATCTTTATTCATGTAGGTCTATTACAGACTCTTATGATATGTCAAATCTACCGTCAGTTCGGAATGATATCGAGATGAGAAGAACTGACAAGAAACTCAGCTCGTATTTTTTTCAAATAATAGTGGAACATGTTTATAATAAATATAGTTTTTAAAATTCAAATTTGGGAGAATAGAGTGACCACCAGCATATGCTATCGCAAAGAACATAAGCGGCTAAAATGTCCTACAGGATTGTTAGTAATTTTGACTGTTGTCCCGATTACTAGCAATGTACATATATTATTATTCTCTATGATTTTTTTTATCCAGCTTCCTCTTCCGGGTTTTGTTATAAGACATCTCTTTTTGTATTTATTCAATTATTTCAATCATTAATTCAATATTATATCTTATATATAAAATTCTCGTGTCACAGTTTTCGTTCCTATACACCTCCGAAACGGCTTGACCGATTCTCATGAAATGTTGTGAGCGTATTGAGTGGGTCTGAGAATCGGCCAACATCTATTTTTCATCCCCCTAAATGTAAGGGGTAGTTAACCCCTAATTTTTTATTTTTATTTTAAGGCAAAACAACGTTTGCCGGGACAGCTAGTAATAATTTATATATATAAATAAAATTGGAGTGTCTGCTTGTAATATTGAAATAACCGTTTTTTACTACATGCATATGAATATATATACGGTACATATACCAAAATAACATTTTTTATAATTTTTGTCTCAGACAAAGGTCTGTCAGTCTGTTTGTTCCGGCTAATCTCTGAAATGGCTGGACCGATTTTGACGGGACTTTTTTTGGCAGGTAGCTGATGTAATAAGGAGTAACTTAGGCTACTTTTATTTTAGAAAAATATAGTTAATTTCCTCGCGGACGAAGTCGCTGGGGTCAGCTAGTAATATAATATAATTGATAATTGGACTAATTTATTGCAACTTGCCATTTTTAAAAGCCAAAACTTCATAAATTGTTTTAATGACGACGATGCCGTTTCAAGCGCGAAAAGAAAAGTGATCCATGGGGTTGCCTCATCACAGAGATAAATTCGCATTATTTTTTTTTTAAATAACTCTAAAATCGCGATGCTATAGAGTAGCGAATAGGAATACTACACTGTAAATCAATTATATTTCAGATCAACGTGAAATAAAATAAGAATTCTGTAACACACTTGTTATGACTATTCAAAAGTGCTTAAATTAAGTTTATTTGAATAAATGATTTTCTATTCTATTCTATTCAGGTTTTCCTAGCACAGATGCCGTTTCTTATATTACAAGATGTTCGTTGTTAAAATAATTTTGTGAATACTTATAATGGAATGGAATAAATAATTTTTATTAATATTATCATTATTATTATTAATAAAACAATTTTTTTTGTAAATACAAATCAAATTAAAAATAATTCATTCAAACGGGACATTTCTTTTTTTTATAGATGTTATTATTAATAAAACAATTCTTTATGTACCTACAGTATCTTTGTAAGTACAAATCAAATTAAAAATAATTCATTCAATCAGAAATGTCCTGTCATTTTTTTTTTATGGATGATAACAGAATGATGCCCCAGCCTGCGCTAATGGATTACACTGGCGGGGCACCAGTGGCGGATGATAAGATGAGCTTGAGGTCAGGTCAGGTCATCGTACTAAATCCACCATGAATTTATCACGATGGTTTCCAGGGGAACCACGTTGAGGTCCACCTTACATGGTACATTGCTAGTAATGGGGTATTTTTTTTAATTAGAGCAATATATGTCGCTTCCTTAGTGGCGACATCCTTTTGACCTGTCTTTTGTTATGATCCTATATGTGTAATGAAATGAAATGAAATGAAATGAAATGAAATGAAATGAAATTTTATCGCATAGAATGTGGTACATTGGATGTGGTATTTTGAATATTATATTGTTCGCACATTTAGTCATTTCTGACATGCAACAGACAATGTATTCTTAAGTTTTTTTTAAATTACATATTGTAATTCAATGGGGTTATTGAGGTCAACCTGACATGGTACATTGCTAGCAATGGGTTATTTTTTTTTTTAATTAGAGCAATATATGTCGCTTCCTTAGTGGCGACATCCTTTTGACCTGTCTTTTGTTATGATCCTATATGTGTATTCTTAAGTTTTTTTTAAATTACATATTGTAATTCAATGGGGTTATTGAGGTCAACCTGACATGGTACATTGCTAGCAATGGGTTATTTTTTTTTTTAATTAGAGCAATATATGTCGCTTCCTTTGTGACGACATCCTTTTGACCTGTCTTTTGTTATGATCTTATATGTGTTTTTTTTAAATTACATATTGTAATTCAATGGGGTTATTAGTCAATATTACTAACAATCCAGTAAAACAACAAGAACCAGAGTGACCGACATAGCCCGAAGAATTGCGACTTTGAAGTGGCAATGGGCAGGGCACATAGCTCGTAGGACAGATGGCCGTTGGGGCAGTAAAGTCCTCGAGTGGCGACCACGGACCGGAAGACGCAGCGTGGGAAGGCCTCCAGCAAGTTGGACCGACGATCTGGTAAAGATCGCTGGAAGGCATTGGATGCGAGCAGCGCAGGACCGATCGTCGTGGAGATCTTTGGGGGAGGCCTATGTCCAGCAGTGGACGTCTTCCGGGCTGCGATGATGATGATGATGACTAACAATCCACATTCTTCCTGCTATGAGTATTATCTGTTTAAGAGACTAGAGAATATATACTAGTTTAGTATGTACGTAGAGTAGCCAGATTTTGTTTCAACCTATAAGGGGCAAGCGCTTAAATAGGCAAAAAAATACGGGAATTTAGTTTTTTACCCGGGACAAATTATAAAATGACAAATTGACTAGCGTAGATGTATTTAATAATAAAAAACGGAGCACGATTCGAACACGGGACAGTCAGTCCCGCCGGGACATTAAAAAATAAGCCAAAAATATAGAAATACATAGTAGGTAACATTGCCTTCCCACGAACCTATGAAACTTCGTATTAATTATTGTGTTTTTTTTTCTAATTGCACGACATATCAGTGACGTAATAGTCATTTGTTTTGTTTTGCAGCAAGTGACGGCGAAAGTATTGTTCGGCAGCGTGACGGCGATCAATGACCTCAAACGGCAGGAGAACAACGAGCGCGAAGTGCGGCGGGCGCACTAGCGACATCTATCGAAAGGTATCCAAACTTGTCAGTCATTTGAATTTCGAAAGCATGTGTACGGAAAGCAAGTAACTTGTAAATTAGTAGTACCTCTTTTGTCCGTTAGATGGCGCTGATTCATTGAATATTAAAATTTTAATATATCAAGTGAATAAACCGTCGATGTATTTACGCAACTTATAATATCTAATTGTAATATATAATTACTTCTATTACTTATACCTATAAATACATATGAAATGTAAATCAAACTTTTTACAAATTTTATAGCGCCATCTACAATGCGTTTAAGCCTTTAATATTTTTAATTCGAAAAATAATCAATAGAGGGCGTTTATTATTGTTTTGTTTTTTAATATTCTCTCTGGTTTTACTCTAATGCTATTGGGTTATGTGGTGGTGTAGTGTGGTGGATAGGGGGCGAGTGCAGATGGCACTCCAAACCCGCGGAAGGACTTATGGAGCGGCTGAATGCCAAATCCAGCCTGAAGGATACGACTTTGTTCTGAGGGGCACCACTAGGGATTCGAACCTCGGCTCAGGCCGAAATGACTTGGACGGGGCTCGATCGGAAGGGTCTGTTTGGTGGAGTGATAGACTTGTCTTTACGGATGAAAATCACCAAATTATGACAATTATAAAGGAAATTATGATAATTAATATTTTTTGTTATTTTCAGATGCTGTTGTGATACGAAAATATGGAAGCTAAGGAAGTGATCTCGGAATACAGAATTTTATTACCGTATCTAATAATGAAGTTAGCTATATTTTATACAATATATTATAGTTATTGATATACCCATATGTCTATTATATGTTAATGTATTATACTGCGTGCGCTGTAGCATGGTGCGGGTGACAGTTGTTTTTAACAATTTAAAAAAATCTTCACTGATTTCCGAAAAACAGCAATATTCATAACATTAATACTAGATTTAAAGACAAACTTGCTGTCCCCAAGTATCATTTAAAAAAAGTCAATAGGTATTTTATGGTAATAGGTATAAAAAATTACAATAAGATACCAAAGGATAAATTGGAATTACCCTTAAATGAATTTAAAACATCTGTTAAATCATATTTACTGAGGAAAGCTTACTCACTAAACGATTACTTGAATGACGAGCGTGCATGGCAATAGTTGTTCATGCACGGGATTTTCATTTAATGTTAGACATAGACACCTATATAAATATACATTGTAAATAAACTGGCATTTAAAAAAAAAGTAATTCAATTGAGTTTCTTGCCAGTTCTCAATTCGATCTATATACCGAACTGGACGGTAGATAAAAAAATTGTAATATAAAAATTTTGACGTCCCTAAACGGCTAAAATGTCCTGCATGAATAAATGATTTTTTAATTTAAATTGCTACATTTAACAATTGCTAAAATTAAGTTCTAGTATCTTATAAATGATTTAATATATTACGAATGTAGTACAGCTGAAATACTAAGTCATAGTTTGTAAATCACGGCAACTTTCCAGAGTGAAACGAAACGTTATTGAAACTGTCACCCGCACCATACTACAGCGCACATAGTATATAGTAATTTAATTAGATATATATACTTTTGTATGTTAATTGGTATCAGTGATACCTAATTGTGAGATTGATACCAGTTTTGCTACGTTAGATGCCAGAAATCCGGCTAATTGAATTAAATAGTCTTTCTTATAATATTACAAAATTATAACTCTATGGTATGAAATGAAAATATATTATTTACTCGCCACCAAGCAGCTTCGTTTTCAAGTTATAATAGCATAGATAAACGAGCTTGCGGCTCGCCTGATGGTAAGTGATTACCGCCGCCCATGAGCACCCGCAACACCAGGGGAATTCCAAGTGAGTTGTCGACCTTTTAAGAAGGAATAAACTCTTTCTTTGAAGGTTTCAATGTCGTATCGGTTCGAAAGTACCAATGTTGGAAGGTGATTCCAAAATGTGGTTGTGCGTAGCGAAAAGTAATTTGTGTTAAATGGCAAAGAAGCTTACGGCCTGCCAGATGGTAATTACCGTTCCTTCCTCCTCCGATCGATTCCCCGTCCAATACAAACTGGGATAGAAATCACGACGGCATTAACCGAGGTTCGAACCCCTAGCGGTGCCTCAGACTAAAATCATATCCGTCAGGCGGGAGTTGGCCTTCAGCCGCTCCATAAGTCCTTCCGCGCGTTTGGAGTGCCATCTGCACTCGCCCCCTATCGTCCGGTGAAGCTGTAAAGGCCAGCTGCGACCAACAGCATTAGAATAATTCGAAAAAGAACCACTTTTACGAAGAAACGAATGGGCCAACACTATTTGAGAGAAAATGTTTTAGAAAGAAGTACATTTGGATTGTGATAAGAATATAATTATAATATTGTAATGAAATGTGTTATTTAAGATAAACATTATAATATTTACACTAATATATACTTAGAGAATCAATTATCCTTACAAACTATCAACGTACAATCAAAATTCAGAATATAAGTCTTCTATTTTATAAAACTATATCATAATAAAGGGAATTGAAAATCATTCAATAAAGATAAAGAGTGAATACGCAAACACACGAATAGTCAAACATTTTAAATAATATTTTTCATTCTCTCGATATATATCTCAAAACTATATACTATAACTATGTATTTATTTTAATTTGATATACAAACTCGGCATATTATATGTAAGTTATATGATGAATAAGGAGTCATTGAAACAATACAAATATATTTTTTTTTTATAAATATATATCCGGCTCGAAGGACCAAAAGTCATAAATCAGTAAATATATATATATAATATATATATATCAAAACTATATACGTGTATATTTATTATAATTTTGTATACAAAGTCAGCATATTATATGTAAGTTATATGATGAATAAGTCATTGAAACAATACGAATATAAAATATTGTATAAATCTTATATATATATATATCCGACTCGAAGGACCAAAACTATGTATAAATTATAGTTAAATTGAGGAGATAACTCACTAGACATAACACACTGAAACGCCATTATGCTATTTTCACATGTCAGTAATAAAATGCATTTATAAAACAAATGAAAATTAAAATTATAAAAAGTTTTTACGTCTCGTACAATATTGTAATGTTTATCTTAATAATATATATTCGCTAATGCCGCATCTTGGCACGGGGAAGAGATTATTTTTTTAAATGTTTATTTTATCATAAGAATTATATTTTACTATATTAAAGTATGTTTACTTAACAAATGACTATTTATTTCGTTGTATTTTACCTACAAACTTTTAAGGGAAGAAAGTGAAAGAAAGACGGAAGAAAGAGGAATTAAAAAACCCAATTTTGCAAAAATTCCTTTATTGTTTTTTTTTCCATTACATCATCATCATCTCAGCCCGGAAGACGTCCACTGCTGGACATAGGCCTCCCCCAAAGATCTCCACGACGATCGGTTCTGCGCTGCTCGCATCCAATGCCTTCCAGCGATCTTAACCAAATCGTCGGTCCACCTTGCTGGAAGCCTTCCCACGCTGCGTCTTATTCTAAATATCATTTCAGTGGGGTCTGGGGGCCCTTTGTATCCTCGGGGCCCTGGGCTGCAGCCCAAAAAGCCCTTAGGTACATCCGCCGCTGCTCCTTCATGAAGGTAGACAGCATGATGATGGGGACCCGGGCCACGCATAACTCGATTCCAGCTGCGTCACCCTCAATGTCAGGTTCCTCCTGGTCCGTGTGTAATCGACCGATTATTATGATTCTACAATCTGGTCACATGAACATGATGGGCATGCAATGAGGATGTCAAGGCTTGTTGCATCAGCTACTTAAAACGTGAGGTGATTATTACCGTCCACTATTGCTACTGTTGCCACCAATCCATTTGGGACTACTTAAGTTGCGATATCTGCATACTATATGCTACATATTCGATTCATATTATACTACATATTCGATTCATATTATACTAGTTGCGCCCGCGGTTTCACTCGTGTGAAATTTATAGCCTATGTGTCATTGCGATAAGCTGTATTTCTGTAAAATTTCAACAAAATTCGTTCCGTAGTTTTTGCGTGAAAGAGTAACAAACATCCATCCATATTCACATACTTTCGCGTTTGCTTGCTTGTATAAACTTAAATATTGTAATGGGTGAAAACTGATTGTTACAGCCTATGCTGTAAGTAATATAAATGACGTAGTGGAGTTACTTGAAATAGTCATGCTTGCTATAAAGTTCAAACTTGTGGCGGCGTGGTGACTTGAGTCAATGTGTCTTATAATCTAATATAGTTGAGTGATGATGGCTGGGGTCGTGAACGAGTTCTGCTTGTGGAGACTGGTCTGTTTGGGTTATTTGCTTTTGACTAAATTGTAATAGCACATGCTGGTGGTCACTCTATCATCTCTTTGAATTTAAAAATGAATCTGTATTATTGTAAACAATATTTGAAAAGAATACAAGCTGAGTTTCTAGTCAGTTCTTAGCTCGAAAGCACTCCGAACTGACGGTAGATTTGACATATCATAAGTGTCTGTAATAGACCTACATGAATAAATATATTTTGATCACAATTATTCAATGCGGAAACCTGACTACCGTTACGACCTTCTCTAATGGTGATCAAATTCCAACCGTTATTGAGTCTACACCCATATCGCGACACGTGTTTCGCCTCTGAACGGGGCATCATCAGACTTTGAATAGAGTTCAAATAAGCTTGGAAGCCTAGTATTTGTGTTTGTATTCATATGTAAGATTGTTTGTATTGATCTGTGCGTTTTCTATGTCCCTATATATTTAAAAATATGAAGTTAAATGTTAAAAAAAAAATTGTTGTTAACATCTGACAATAGCCCAAACAACCAAAAAAAAAACAGTTGTTCAGTACCCATAACACAACCTCTTCTTAGCTTGGGACTAGATGGCGCTGTGTGAATTGTATAAGATTATTATTTTATTCTACTAAGAGCATCTCGCGGTTTAAACCGTATCTGTTATGTTAATTTAGTTTTAAACGAAAAACAGTAACTACCATCAAATTATCCCTATTTCTTTTAATGGTGCACTGACTTGCGCTAACGGCATACGCTGGCAGGGCACCAGTAGAGGATGATAAGCTCAGAATCAGTTTAATCAGACAGCATCGTGATGAAATTACAGGAATTAACTATGATAGTTTCCCGGAGGAACCGCGTGGAGATCGACCTGACACATTGCTAGCAAAGGATCACCCATTACGAATGTGTAACCAAAATTCTATTTAGTAACATTGAAACGTGGTGACAGTGGACCAGAGACAAAAAGTTACCATTATACGTTTCAAATTAAAAAAAAATTAACAATCATAGGCATAAATTCTACCATTATCAAGTAAATAAAAAACTGGCCAGGAGTATTTCGATTTTTAATTTCATACCAAGATCCACATTTTCACAAAAAGGCGCTAAACAACTAGTAAGGAACTAGGCAGTATGGCTTATTACCTTCGCCTGTCTGAATTACACGAATTATAAAACAACATTCAAAATTAGAATGGCGGGCAATCGATCTCTCTGAATCGTATCTTATTATGGAACAGTTAAATTCATTAAAAAGCAAATTCCGGAGCCAAAAGAAGAGAGAAAAAAAAGCTAATTGAAACGTTCGATCAAGGAGTCCTGTAGCATACGACTGCAGCGGTCGTTCCTCTGTTGAAACTTATTATAGTAGGTATAGAATGACAATGGCAGTGACGGTTTTTATCGAAAGGTCTTTAACCGTGCGCCACAAATCGCTCATGTCCGGTGTTAGGCGATATTTAATGATTTTCGCCTTAGGCGCTGTGGCTGTGTGTTACACAGACGCCAATTGTAAATTAAACGAATGTTTTATTTATAACAACAACCCGGCTTCGCACGGATGTATTTACAATCTTTGAATTCAATAAAATTCAAATTATCTTTATTCATATAGATCTATTACGGACTCTTATGATATGTCAAATATACCGTCAGTTCGGAATGATTTTCGAGAAGAACTGACAAGAAACTCAGCTAGTATTCTTTCCAAATAAATGTTGTACATGTTGTTCAACATTTATTTGGAAACAAATACATAAACATTTACAACATTTGTTGTAAATTTTACAATAATACAGACTCATTTTTAAATTCAAATTTGGGAAAATAGAGTGACCGAACTGAGTGAATTACTGGCTTGTTCTAGACAGGCATGTATTATACATGTAAATATTTGTCTTGAATAACTCTATCTATTGATGAAAACTGCATCAAAATCTATGGCGTAGTTTAAAAGATACAAGCGAATAGACAAAGGTGGGGTTTTTGTTTTATACTACGCAAAATTGATTAATTATTGAGGATATATTGATTAAAAATTGAAAATATGAATACTATTATCTAAATATATGTATATAACTCAAAGGTGACTGACATAGTGATCTATCAACGCACAGCCCAAACCACTGGACGGATCGGGCTGAAATTTGGCATGCAGGTAGATGTTATGACGTAGGTATCCGCTAAGAAAGGATTTTGATTAATTCTACTCCCAAGAGGATAAAATAGGGGATGAAAGTTTGTATGAATCTTTATCAATATTAAACCGATGGGGCTGAGACTTTGCATGCATAAAGCTACTATGACGTAGGCATCCCCTAGGAAAGGATTTTGATAAATTCCACCCCTTAGGGGATAAATGTACGCGAGCGAAGCCGCGGGCAAAAGCTAGTATATATATAAAATTACTACTGATGAATGGCATATGTTGTCTATTGCATGTCAGTAATGACTAATGTATTGAATTGATGTTAATTATGTTAAACCATCAATGTAAAACCACATTTAAGTAATAAATTTCATTTCATTTCAATTCATTTCAAAGATAACATAAAGAACTCATTCAAAGCTTACTAGTCTTCATTTCATTACTTAATGTATTTTGGTAATCGGATATTCAGTTCTTTGGTTGCTGAACTGTCAACACTAGGCTTCCAAGATATATCTGAACTCTATTCAATGCCTGATGATGCTTCGTTCCGAGACGAAACACGTGTCGCAATATGGATGTAGACTCAATAACTGTCGGAATTTGATCACCATTAGAGAAGGTCGCAATGCTTTGAGTTGCGGTGGTCAGGTCCCGCTAAATATTTGTGCTCTCACTCATAGAATAGAATTGAAAATCCTTTATTCAAATAAACTTAATTTAAGCGCTTTTGAATAATTCGGAAAGATGTTTCATCACTAGAAGAATGAGCAAGAAACACGCGTGTTGCTCTTTTAAATAATCGTTGTAACTTTACATTTTTAAGTCGAAACGTGTGAATACAAACTACCAACCAGTACTACTTTATTAGAGTCAAATATTAAATATACAATAAGATTAAATCAGTCGTAGTGATTAGAGCGGACCAGTCCCTACAAACTGCACATACTAAATGTAGTGGAATTAAACAAAATAATATAAATACATTAAGTAATTAAAAAATCTCTTTAATCTACATACAATCTTACTAATATTATAATCGCGAAAGCTTGTAAGTAGGGCTGTATGGATGTTTATAGCTCATTCACGACAAAAACTAATTTGATGAAACTTACAGTATTATAGCTTATACATCAGAATAACACATCTTAAACTTATTAATACTATATTATAAATGCGAAAGTTTGTAAGTATGGATGTTTGTTACTCTTTCACGCAAAAACTACTGAACGGATTTTGATGAAACTTTACAATAATATAGCTTATTCATCAGAATAACACATAGGTTATATTTTTTATTGAAATTTAACGCGTGTATAACCGCAGGCACAGCTAGCACACGTAAATATGAAGTTAGAAATCGATTTTTGAGTTCGGTGTGATGAATGTCAAAAAAAGCTCATTTCGCTGCAAAACAAGCACGCAAACGAAAGATCATCGCTCGCGCGAGGCCTTATAACTGTACTATAATCACGGCAGCCTCCCAACATTATGTAACTTAGTCCTCAAACGATTGGCCGATCACGAAGACGCGGCCGGGACATCTTGTATACCTACTGGATTCTTTAAACGATATTAGTGTGTGCTTGGCCTAATTTTTAACGTGTTCTGTACGGATTTTTAATGTTATGAGACAGACGTGGGCGTGATCTCTCGCATACCTACTACGGGATATGTTACACGTTATTAGTGTGTGCTTGGCCTAATTTTGAACGCGTTGTGTACGGTTTTTTTTTTAATTTAATGGGACAAAGGAATTAGTGTGGTATGACTGATGTTGATGTAGTTTGATTTCAAAGATGGAAATATTAAGGTTGGTTGTGTTGTTCTTTTTATGGTTGATAATGGAATGGTGCACCCGCCTGCGCTAACGGTTTACGCTGGCGGGGCACCAGTATTGGAAAATAAGATGAACATGAAGTCAGGTCAGTTAGCCCATCGTGACAAATTCACCAAGATTTTATCACGATGGCTTCCAATGGGAACCGCGTGGAGGTCAACCTGAGATGGTACATTGCTAATTGGATTATCAGTCCACATTACTAACAATCTCTTTTCCCCCGGTTAATTGTGTTTATCATATAGATTTATAGCTTTTATATGTTTACTTTTATATCTTTAAAAGTAGGCAACAGATTTTGATGCAGTTTTTAGGAATAGATAGAGTCATTCAAGAGGAAGGTTCATATGTAGGTACACCCGTGCAAAGCCGTGGCCAGTAGCTAGTTGATGTATATTTAAACTAAGGACACGGTTTTTTCTATGTTAAAAGTCCTATGTCAATGAATCTATTTCTCTATGAAATTATTCCTATGAAGCTAGCATTTGATGAATTTCTGGAATAGATACCTAATAGTAGTAAAACTAAAACTATATCTCGTGACACAGTTTTCGTTCCCATACTCCTCCGAAACGGCTTGACCGATTCTCATGAAATTTTGTGAGCGTATTGAGTAGGTCTGAGAATCGGCCAACATCTATTTTTCATCACCCTAAATGTTAGGGGTAGTCCACCCTTGATCTTTTTTTATTTTTTAGACAGAATTTTTAGTTTCAATTTTTTTATGATACATAAATATAACATACAAAAATACATACAATCCTAAATTTTCACCCTTCTATCATCAACCCCTATTTTTTTATAGCGTTATTAATTTATATGGCAAAACAACGTTTGCCGGGACAGCTAGTTTTTTTTATATTTATATATTTTTGATGATATTTATAATAATTTAGATGGTCGTAGTAGCAACGCTAAATCGACCAGTTACTGAGCACCAGTTTACCTTAATCAAATCAAAATATCTTTATTCATGTAGGTCTATTACAGACTCTTATGATATGTCAAAACTACGGTCAGTTCGGAGCACTTTCAAAAATTGACAAGAAACTCAGCTCTTATTCTTTTCAAATGAACTTGTATATGTTTACAAAACTACAGATTCATTAATAAATTCAATTAGGGAGAATGTAGAGTGACCACTAGCATAATAAAATATATATAAGGTAGCTTATAAATTATTACTTCTGTACCGTTAAAAAATAGAAAAATATAAACAAATCTATTTATTATGCTGGTGAGTTGAACTTTTTTCTTATTGTATGAAGTTCTCTGTGATCTAGCGGTTTACCACAGCGCTTTACTTCTGATGCTCACGGGTTCGATACCTCGGACGGTCCACCATTTATAATCATTACTATGATTATTTGTATTCGTCTGGGTGTTATCTATGTATCTCACAAAATTTGTATCTAAGATCTATCGGATGTACAGCTGTGAATGTTATTGTATTTGACAACAAATATTTAAATTTAAGAATACTTATACTAGGTATAATAAATAAAAAACTATTAAATAAATATTATATATATATAAATCAGAGTAACATAAGTATAAGATATTAGATCTGTTTTGGTTTTGCTAGTATAAATTCAGATTTCTGTACTTAAATACTAAAAATATTGTAAAAGTGTTTGTATCCTGAATAAATAAATAAAAGTCTTCTGAAAAAAAACCCATAAAAATGTTCTGCTTAGCTTGAGACTAAATAGCGCTATATGAGTTGTCTAGTATGTCCAGGGATATTATTATTATTATTATCCTTGTCTAGTCAATAATAATGCTTAAAATTATTTAAAAAAAACCTTAGGAGTACATATACAGGATCATAATAATAAGACATAGGCCACAAGGATGTCGTCACAAAGAAAGCGACAGATATTACTTAAAATAACATAAAAATACTTTGAAATCAAATAGATAGTTAATTGATTTATTGCCAACATAACCCAAATAATACAATTTACAATAAGACACAAAATGAGAAATAAATAATAACACAGAAAGTTGTCAATAGGAGCTGCCTCAGCTGTTGCTGATATAAGCACAACATTAATGAGGTGCACCTATACAGCGCAGGTTTTCAGGCAGCCCCCATTACTCATTAAAAAAAAACTAAGATGCGGGTATTATTATACTATATACAGATACATATAAATTTAATATAACAAAAAGATAAAATACATTAAATAAGATCTAGGATACACAAATATATATATATATAAAATGAATTACAATATTCAATGCTCATAAAAACCAAAATCAGTTACAATAACAGTATCAAAACGAAAACAAATTAAAGAGAAAAAGAAAAGCCAATCCGTGTCACCGTTAAATATAAGTAATTTCTGTCCTGTTCGCAATATAATCACGGATGTATATAATCACTTATGCAATGAAACACATATGTCACTTGGATCTCGAAAACTGCAAAACGTAAGCGATAATGTGATTACCTAACGTCTTATTGATGTAATGTTTACACGAAAAAGGTGGCATAGAGAAACAGCGATAGAAACAAACATAGATATGTAAGTTACGAAACTATGTACCAACACTTCAGTATTAGATGTACAAATATATAAAACAAGCATATATTTGATACGATATTGAAACGGTCAAGAAAAGAGCGAGATTCCATCTGAAAAGGTTGGTAACGCACTGGAAATCTCCTGGTGTTGCGAATTGAGCAAAAAGCTCGTTTGTTCCCGATGCTATAAAAACATCAAAATTCTTCATTTAAGTAACACAATTTTTATTTAATTCTAGTTTTTAATTAATTGTAGGAACCTCCTTTTAAGCATGAAAATTTCTGTGCCAAGAGGCTTGCATAGTTTATTTATAAAAGTGTATATAACTATATTAATATTTATTTACAATTATTGTCAACTGTATGGTAAATGCAACATTTGACATGGGTACAACAATTCGCTGGGTAATCTAACGTAGTAGGGAGCAGGCATACTGCCACTTATAATTTATTGTGATCTTTTCTTTTACCGGAGATTCAGTCAGTAATATAAATCAATACACAATTTGAACTAACAACCTCTTGAGCATAATTCGGGGTAGTAAACCACTAAACCACGATGACTGTAATACGATACATAAATAAATTCGCTCAACATCAGATTACAAAATAAATCAAGCAATAGTCGTAGTATTTACACAAATCTAGCAGTATTTGTTGAATAGTGAAAAACAATTTGTATTTGGCAATTTAATTACTCTGTAAAGTAACCGCAACCGATAATCGACAGAGCGAGATGATTTCACTAACTAAATTTTGCAACACATTCCTTTTTTGCAGTTAAAACTTGTTTACACTAAACGGATGTAGCATAAATAACTGTTTAATTATATGGTTTTCTTTTACAGATACAAATACATCTTTATAAACATACTTTGCATGTTAAACACAATCGTCAGTGATGAACAGACAGAAGGCAATATAACATCAGACGAACATAATAATTGTCCTTTTTCTAAAATTATTGAAGATATATTTAGGATACATAATAAAACTTCAGATGCTGGTATTTATATTAAAAATAGTGAACGCGCTAAACTGTTCCTTAGTACCATAGCTAACGTAACAGCAAATGATAACACGAATGATACTGATCAGGAAACTCTAGTTAACAACATTATAGCATCAATAAACAGAATAAAAAATAACATATCATCTGTAAATGATACTAAATTGAACCAAGCTATAATTCTAAATATTTCCGATTATAATAAAAATGATGTTAAGACGTCTACAGAAAATTCCGTTAATGGTGTTACCCAAATAAAAAGTGGTATTGAAGATAAATTTGATATAATGTCATTAAACAATACTTCAAAAGGTAACAATGTGACTAATATGAGTAATGAAGTATCTAATATAACAACAGAAAAAACTAACTACGTAGAAATTTTAACTATAGAACCTAACAATACCAATAACCATAATACATCTCATAACATAATTGAAGTTCTCAAACATTTAATGCCTATGTTTAATAGTACATTAACAAAAGAACTACATAACATCACCATCATAGAGAGAAACCATAACAGAAACCATTCGTTTACTGCAACTAAAAATGTATCTACTATCGTCGTAACTTATTGTGATAAAGAAAATCTGACAAAAGCTAATATAACTGGTGATGAAACTGATGATGGACTAGAAACTGATTTGAAAGTCCCTTTAGATGATGAAAAAGATTATTATCTCGAAGACAATATAGAAGAAGACACCAGTGACGAAGAGGATGACTTTGAGAAGCCTGTGAATGTAACGAACGAAGTAAAAAGAGATATATTGGAAGCTGCTGAATATGGAATGCAAAAGATGCATGAGTTGTATAGTGTTTTGGAACCAAAGCTGTATTCTATGGGTAAGTTTTTAAAGTAATATAACATGTATTTGATACCCACAGGCATATATATTTGAACACAGACTTTAACAATAAACAAAAGAGTTGTTTATTGTTAAAGACTGTGGTCAAATTCAGAATAGATTAATATTGTTTGTCTTTAATATTATTTGTGTATAGTCTTACTGAATGTTACATTAAGTATGGTCGAATTTTGACCACTGGGCGACCATAGTATTTATGTAAGTGCTGAAAATGAAGTTTATTTGAATACAGATTATTAATATTTTATTCTATTGACGCCTTCAGGTCTATGGTTGGATGAGAGTAATCCTGCCCGATACGTAGCAGCGTTCAATGCACCAACCGAAGATGCTGCAAAGTTCTCCCGTTACGGATACGCCTCGTTGCAAGCTGCGCAGCGTCTAAAACAACTTACCAGGTTAGTTATTTCTGCGAATGTGCTCAGGAACTCCATAACCTCATTCCTCCAGCACCGTTCCACCACCGTACAACAAGACGTAGAAAGTAGCTCCACCTATATACTATTGATAAGCCTGCTGCCCTGTACCAATTGATTTGCATCATCTGCTCTTATGCGAGCAGCTAAGGTATGGAACTCTCTCCCAGCGTCTATGTTACCTGCCTCTTACAACGTTAGGTCTTTCAAGTCAAAAGTGAATAGGCACTATTTGAGCTTGCGTGTAACAGCTTAGACCGCATCATCCCTTAACATCAGGTGAGAATACAGTCAAAACCTCTCAATATAGATAAAAAAATCTAAATAGTACATTGAAAGAGACCCTGATTAAGACATTGTACAATTGTGTAATCGTCTGCGTGTATCCTCTCACGCTATCTTCTACTCCGCGAGCCAGAGCCTAATTTCGTCAATAATTTCCTGTTGGTCGGAAACTTCTAAAATGGTTAAGATTCTTAAGATGTGAAGAAAGTCAGCTGTGGTTCCGAGAGGAGATTGAGGAGTACATAACCCTCGTAAATATTTTTTATATAAAAATAGATCTTATGCAACTATAACTTTAAAGTTTATATTTGGGAAATTTATTTTATCATGTCTGCTTAATAGATTGCATGGATTTCATAAATACTAGTAGAGATCTAGACGTTCGACTAAGTCGTCTGCTTGAGTACCTCTTTCTTACCTATTTCAGCCGCAAGCTGTATTTTCATGAGATAAGACAGTGAAATTGCAGGGTAAGAGTTATGAAATCATAATCCTCTAGAATAGCAATGCATCACGGGAGTCATATGATAACATGATGGTTCAAATGCCATTAGAAATAGAAATAATCGTTATTCATATAAACACAATACAAACACTTTTGAATAGTCATATTTTTTTAATCCATCACTCATTCGGAACGCAGCCTCATCACAAGAAGAATGAGCAAGAAACTAGCGTAGTGCTCTTTTGAATAGATATTTTTTTCAATAAATAATTACACAATAACAGTTAAGAGGCATGCGATAATCAACATAGAAACCGCTACGCACTCCTTCTTAGTGCAATCAGTTAATTTTAAGAATTTTAAGTTTATTTTTTCAGGCAGATCTAGAACAGACTCTGGTAGTTTGTTGTGAAACCTTACGCAATTACATTATTAACATTTTTATATTAAGCTTTTTTGCAAAGGAGATGTTGTATACGTACTTCTAATGTTAAGATCCATTCAGCTGTAAAGGGATCCAACAAACAGACAAACACGTTTTCCTATTTATAGTCTTAGCACGAATTAATATGGATGTAATCGGTAGTTCTAAGTTCCTGTTAAACAGTTGCTTCTAACCATACGTGCAAAACAAGTTTATTGATGATGTACATCCTGTCACTCAGGCTTGTGACTACTCGTATGTACATAGGTATTTGGCGGTTACCAACTTTATTGGAAGTCATTCTAGGGCTACAACCTTATGTAATAATAGCTGTACGCGCGACTTCGTTCGCGTGGAACTTAACTTTATTTTTCTAAAATAAAGAAGCCTAAGTTACTCCTTATTATATAAGCTACCTGCCAATAAAAGTCCCGTCAAACTCGGTCCACCCATTTCAGAGATTAGCCGGAACAAACGACAGATAGACAAAAATTGTAAAAATGATGACAAGCATCCGTTCTATAACAATGATGAGTAGGTATATTTCGAAATTTCGAGCGATTTGTAAATTGCTAAATCATTTTACGATGAGACTTTCACTGAAGAATATTTTAAATATTACACAATGAAACAGAACAGTAAAACTACAATAACGCGGTCAGGGATAATAAAATAAAATTCTTGTGAAAGTAGAATATATTATAATAATACAATATTATTATTATTCAGTAATATTATATTTACATACATAGTATAAAACAAAGTTGCCGCAGCTGTCTGTTAGTTTATATGATTTAAATAACGCAACACGATTTTAATGCAATTTTCAGCAATAGATAGAGTGATTCAAGAGGAAGGTAAATATCTGTCAGCATATAATTTAAATAGAGGTTAGAAATTTATTTAAAATATTAGGGTAACATAATTAATATTGTGAATATTTTTCAATACTCCATGTACTATTGATCCATCGTTATCTTTACATAATATAAAACAAAATAGACGCCGTTGTCTGTTCGCTTATATCTTTTAAATTGCGAAACGGATTTTAATGCTGTTTTCAGCAATAGATAGAGTGATTCAAGAGGAACGTTCATATGTATAATACATGCGTGTTATAGTATAGAACAAGTCGAGAAATTCAAAGATTTGTAATTCATCCGTGCAAAGTCGATATAGTTCGCTAGTATAGAATATTTTAAACAAATTGGTCATATAATAAAATACTCGAACATTTTATTAAATAGTTGCATTTCTTAAAACTCGTTTAGTCCAAAGCTAAAGTAACTCATATAATTAATGTAATTATCTTTTGGAGCTATTAATACCAGAATTTTTTTATGAAATCCAACTAGAAAAATGTCATTGGACTTTCCTTATGTCAATCTGTACGTTTAAAATAAAGATTGTGGCCCAATCACAATTGAAATATAAAAAAAATATTGTCATTTGATTATTTAACATTTTATTACATGTACGTACAAAAATAACATGAATTAAAATTTTATTGTGATAACTAAAGCCGCATCAGTCAGGCAGGAGTTTTTTTATGCTATGGGGAAGAAACGAGCTTACTGCTCACCTGATGGTAAGTGATTACCATCGCCCATTAGCCATCACCCTGGTGTTGCGGGTGCTCATGGGCGGCGGTAATCATTTACCATCAAGTGAACCGCATGCTCGTTTTCCCCTGTATTATAAAAAAAAAGTCTACCTTTCAAACAGTGAAAGAATTTCTCAAATCGGCGCAGTAGTTCTAGAGTTTTCGATCCTAATAACAAAATCAGCTCTCTCTCTTGCACTCTCTTTATATTTTTTCCCCTCTGATCAATATCCAATTCAAACGGAGCTCAAAATTATGACGGTCACAGGCAAGACTCTATGCTCTAAGACTAAAGTCGTATCCGTCGGGCGGGAGTTGGCCTTCAGCCATAACTTCTTCGTTAAATTTGAGGTGCCTTCTGCACTCATCGGCCATGTTGGTTCGGTGAAGCAGTAAAGGCTAGTTGCGGCCAACAGTATTAGAATTAGAAGAACAAACTATTTGAAAAACCAAAGCTGTATCAATCAAACCTAAAGCCATACCTAAGGCTTTAGTTTTAGCATTGGAAGAGTTAGAGGTAAAAACAGTTTTAGAAATATTTCGTATTTTTAAAATTGTTGTCTTGTTTTTTCCCTATGTTATAAAAATACTCTTAGAATGACTGATAAAACATTTATTCAAATAAACTTACAAAGCACTTTTGTATCAATCAATTTTTTTTAATCTACCTTTAGTTTTATAATTGGAAGAGTTAGAAGTAAAAAAAAAATAAAAATATTTCGTATTTTATTTATAAAATACGAAATATTTTTAATTTTTTTTTAAGTAGGGCTACTATCAATTAAAACTAAAGCCACTAAAGTCTTTCCTAAAGCTTTCGTTTGGAAGAGTTATAAGTACAAACAATTAAAAAAATAATACGAGTTTTTAAAATTGTTGTCACGTTTTTCCCTATGCTATTAAAAACTCCTGCCTAGACTAGGATACCTATCAGGCGTTACAGGTTCAGTTTTCGAAAAATAAAGCCGTAGGTTAAGTAAGTATTAGTTTTTAAATATTATATTATATGTATGTTAGTCTATAAGGTATTTATAATATGGGCCTAGTTTACTGAAATAAATAAATAAATAGCATTAGAAGAATTAGAAGTACAAACAATTTAAAAAATGTTTCGTAACATATTTATTTTTCTCAAAACCAAACAACCTTGATTATAAGTGAATGTTGCATATATTCGATGTAATATTTTGGTTAATTGAGATCAGAGGACAAAATCAAAACTATCGGATGTGATCCGAAGAACCTTGCAAACGCCTGCGCATTGTAAGAAGTCTGAAGAAATCTTATAGATTTGAGATGCAAATTAAAGCATATATCTATGTTTTTTATTTAAAAACTAGCGGCATTATGCGGCATTTTGGAAATATAGGTAGTTATTATGACGGCCTCGGTGGTATAGCGGTTTAGCACGCCTCCTTGCTCCTGATGGTTGCGGGTTCGATTCCTCGCACGGCACAAACATTTATATTCATGAGTACGATTGTTTGTATCAGTCTGGGTATTTTCTATGTATAATATGTATGTATTTACGAAAAAAATATCTATGTATTTGTATCAGTTATCTAGTATCCATAACACGAACTTTAGCTAGCTTAACTTGGGTCTAGATGGCGCTGTGTGATTTGTCCTGAGATTATTATTATTAGCAAGGGCGGATCCAACTTTGGCGCCAGGAGGGGGTGACATAGTCGTGGTCAAGTCAAGAACTTAATAATTTAATTTTGATAACAATGAATACAAGTAAAAAGTAGGTATTTTATTAATGTACGTAAGTACTGTAATATTAATAAAATTTGTATGGTGACAAAATATATAAATAAAATCATTATGTTCAATTAGTGGTTCATCTAAGACTTGGGCTCAGGGGGTCATGACCCCCATGACCCCCATGACCCCCTCCCTGGATCCGCTATTGGTTGTTAGGTGAGAGGAGACTATTGAATATAGATTAGACTATTTTTTTTTTACAGTTAAGCTGGTGATTAGTTCCTAGGACATGCCAAGTCTCTCGTTGCCTTATTTTGCGAGCTAATTTCTATTTCTTGAATCTATCTAAGCAGGGAACTGTAAACCGCTTTTGATGCTCATCATTTTCTAACCGGTTTCTATCTTTTATATCTTGTAACATGCCTGTAAGTATACCTACACATTACTAGTTTCTACATGCATTTAACAAGTTTAGATGCTTGATTAATGATGTTTTTTATGTAATTGGAAGCATAGAA